TGGAAGTTGTGAGACACCAAGGCTCTCACATTTTCTAGACAGTCAGCTCACAGACGATGGTGAGATTGTCAGCCTTATGTGTTGGCCTCCCTTTACCCCCAGGCAGATTCCTGTTACTCATTTCTGTTACTGGCTGTTGACCCCAGGGCCACATTATGGCTAGAATGATTGTCAATCGAAAAGTCCACTGACCTTGTCAGGAATCAAACCCATGACCTTCTGTCTTGAAGCATAGTGCCTCAACCAACTTTGCCACCACAGCTCAAATATACATGTATAAAGGATGGAGTCACTGTGTGTGTATCATCATCCTTTCCAGCATTAGGCCTATTGAGACCTGTTTTGGACAACACAATGCAGAATCTTTCTATCATTTCAGAGGGTTTCCCAAACTAATTTCTGTTTTGGTTGACATATTAAGATGTTTTCTGAAGTCCTGTCAGATCTCATTCTGTCGACATATTCTTTCTAGTTTATATTTTGTTATTTATGGATTTAGTTGTCTCACAATTTAGTCTACAGTCTGACGACAGGGTAGGTCTGCATTTTTGTGTGCCTAGAAACTAGTGACAGTTTCAAGATCTGATTTTTAATTCCAAGTATTTTTATAAGATTTACAATGTTCATGTTCAGATCCATTATATCCTTAGTTGGATAAATTTTTCCCAGATAATTAACTCTAGTAATTTGTTCCAGTATCCTGTCATTAATGCACTTCTAGCTTCTGATTGTTTCTATTCACCTAAAAGTTGTTTTTATTTAACTTCATAAAAAAATCTTCACATGTATTGTTCAAACTGTACCCTCGATATTGTAGCTTATCTTCAGAGTTGGCCAGGATCTCTGCAGGTAAAGAAGCATTGTACTTATATAAATGTTTTTGTTTTTCACTCTTTTGTGTAGAATCCACATTTGGGACCTGAGTAAAAGCGACATCTATCCATTGTACACTGTACCTTTTGGGACTGTCTCAGCCATGCAGTTATCACCAGATGTAGGTGATGCGAAAACCCCACCTCACGTTGTAAGTACAGCCTTTTGATACAGACTACTAAAGAAATTATTGTTATGAAACAATCTAATATTTAAGGTGCCAATTTGTCTTGGACACTTCAAAGTGAGAACAAGGGCACTTTATGCACAGAGAATATAACCTTTCCACGTTGGCACATCAGGAATGCCACTATGTGGTGGTCCACACTGGTGTAGACACAACAGTTTTCTGTATTTTGACAGCCATTCTTCCAAAACACGTTAGGGACTGCATGAATAGTGCATATGTTATGTACATCACAGGCATTTCACATGCTTGAAGCACCTTGGCTTCTCTGATTTTCCAGTTACTAGCTGTGGCATCTTCTCACATCCATCCATTTTTTCCTGTACAAGCTCAGTAATTCTGTTTTTATTCCTATTGCCATCATGCCAGCTTTCATCTTTGAAAGTGTATATTCTGTGGGAGTAGGCTGAAAAACAACCCACACTCATCTTCAGTAATTATGTCCTTTGAATTGCATTTACTCAGAAGTGATGGAAGCATTCCTGTCTTCCAGGCACCTACTTCCTCTCTAGTACACTTTCAGGTTCTCTGCTCGTGGTTCTGTTGCTAAGCCCAGCATTAATTCTGACTCGAACAAGCCATTTGACATCAACACATTTGAAGGTGTGTATTCAGTGTTTCAGTTTAAAGGTTTCTTCAGCATTCCTTCTTAGCATTGGACCTTGAATTGGTATATATGTGGTACAGTCATTAAGTTTGTGGAATGTGGTTTTATAGCACCATATTACAAGGTATTCACATACACTTACACAGATCCACATCGGCCCTCAAAATAGTCGCCGGTGGCCACTATGCAAGTCTACCAACGTTGATATCGCTATCGAAAACATTGCAGAAACATATTGGCAGGAAATTCCCATTCGGCGTCTCTTGTGGCATTGACAACCTCCTCAGACGTCTGAACTTTACGAGCATGTAGCTTTGCTTTCACGCGGTGAAAGAGAAAGAATTTGCATGATGTGAGGTCAGGTGAGTATGGAGGGTGTGGCAAAACGGTGACCTGTTGTCTTGCCAGTTCCTCTGGGACAAGAACAGAGCGATGTGCTGGGGCATTGTCGTGTAGCAACAGCCAATTCTTCCTACACCAAATTTTTCGCTAGGGGATTTGCCTAGTTTTTGGCAGAACTTCATGTTTGCCCGTTGTTCAAAGTGCCATGTCTTCGATTTCTGCCACTTGCATTTAATTGCTGTTCACAATATAGACCATAGTTCTGCTTACACTGTTTGCACACAACTGTCTCTTGCTGTGACAAGAGATGAACTGACAGGGCATCATATCGTTCCTCAACCTATCTACAGTAGTGCACTGCAATGACACTTTGTGGACCGTCCATGAACTTATTGAGTATGGTAGTATAATGTGGCATGTTGATCTGTTGCTAGACAACGACCGCGAAATAAATGACTATACAGCAGCGAAGAGGAGTCAGTCAAGTTAGTGAAGAGATAGTTGGTGAGTTGGTGAGTTGGTGAATTAGTCAGAGAACTGCAGTTCAGTGATGGTGAGTTGTTGCTATTAGAAGCTGGTAGCTGCGGCTGGGGACAGTTTGGGAACCCACGAGAAGGGAAAAGTCTGCTGTTGGAAGCTGTTACAAAGCAACGGCTAGTGGAGACTGTAACAGACTGAGAACACTAATCTGTGTGCAACAGTGATTTATAAAGTGTAGTCACAAGTTGTATATCAAAGAGTTCAATAAATCTGGTCATCAGTCCAAACTCCATCTATAGTCACACTCCATATGTGTGACTATGTATACAATGCCGGTTCATACCAAAACCACTCTAGGAGCACTGATTCAGTGTTGTCATATTTAAAAGTCTTTAGCTCTTTCCTTCCTGAGTACTTACATATTGCTGAAATGTGTTTCCTATTCGTCGTAATATTATTTAGCATTGACACTCGTGTGCTATGTTGTTCCACAGCCTTTGTGCACATCACATGTGGCTGAGCATCCACCCTCATGAACTGATAATGCTTTAAATTTTGTGTTTGTTTTTGCAGCCTTGCCTAGACCTATGTATAATATACAAGTCAGTTTACTTTTACNGCGTCTCTTGTGGCATTGACAACCTCCTCAGACGACTGAACTCTACGAGCATGTAGCTTTGCTTTCACGCGGTGAAAGAGAAAGAATTTGCATGATGCGAGATCAGGTGAGTACGGAGGGTGTGGCAAAACGGTGACCTGTTGTCTTGCCAGTTCCTCTGGGACAAGAACAGAGCGATGTGCAGGGGCGTTGTCGTGTAGCAACAGCCAATTCTTCCTACGCCAAATTTTTCGCTAGGGGATTTGCCTAGTTTTTGGTAGAACTTCATGTTTGCCCATTGTTCAAAGTGCCACGTCTTCGATTTCTGCCACTTGCATTTAATTGCTGTTCACAATATATACCATAGTTCTGCTTACACTGTTTGCACACAACTGTCTCTTGCTGTGACAAGAGATGAACTGACAGGGCATCATATCGTTCCTCAACCTATCTACAGTAGTGCACTGCAATGACACTTTGTGGACCGTCCATGAACTTATTGAGTATGGTAGTATAATGTGGCATGTTGATCTGTTGCTAGACAACGACCGCGAAATAAATGACCATACAGCAGCGAAGAGGAGTCAGTCAAGTTAGTGAAGAGATAGTTGGTGAGTTGGTGAGTTGGTGAATTAGTCAGAGAACTGCAGTTCAGTGATGGTGAGTTGTTGCTATTAGAAGCTGGTAGCTGCGGCTGGGGACAGTTTGGGAACCCACAAGAAGGGAAAAGTCTGCTGTTGGAAGCTGTTACAAAGCAACGGCTAGTGGAGACTGTAACAGACTGAGAACACTAATCTGTGTGCAACAGTGATTTATAAAGTGTAGTCACAAGTTGTATATCAAAGAGTTCAATAAATCTGGTCATCAGTCCAAACTCCATCTATAGTCACACTCCATATGTGTGACTATGTATACAATGCCGGTTCATACCAAAACCACTCTAGGAGCACTGATTCAGTGTTCTCATATTTAAAAGTCTTTAGCTCTTTCCTTCCTGAGTGACTTATATATTGCTGAAATGTGTTTCCTATTCGTCGTAATATTATTTAGCATTGACACTTGTGTGCTATGTTGTTCCACAGCCTTTGTGCACATCACATGTGGCTGAGCATCCACCCTCATGAACTGATAATGCTTTAAATTTTGTGTTTGTTTTTGCAGCCTTGCCTAGACCTATGTATAATATACAAGTCAGTTTACTTTTACCCAGTCTCATGACATTCAGCACACTTGTTCAGCATACATAATCATGCACACAAAAGCCACACTACCAGCTCGATGGATGGAGAAAGTCAGAAAGTCACCACTAATTCTGCCAACTTCTACTGCTTTCTGAGGATTACTGTGTGGTGCTAAGCATTGTTGCATGTTTGACTTACGTCAGTGTCTACTTTTTTCTTCTCCTCAGTCAATTCTGTATGTACAAATAAGATCAAAAAGTTTATGACAATTGTATATTAATGCAACTGTTGAGTTTCTGAACATTGTCATCCTGTTTTTTTTTAATCTGAAAGATGGTTTTTTAAATAAACAGTATGATGGATAATTTCCAGAAACACAATAACTGTATCTATATATACAGCTATATAACTGTAGTTATATATAACTTGATAAATGGTTAGAATGTTTGATACATGACTTAAAAATTGCCTTTCTTGTGCAGGATATCTTTTAATGTGGGAAATGTTTCAAATTGGATCTTCCTAAGCTGGGTCCACCATATTGTTGGTTTTAAGTCATTTGTGGTCTGTGTGGATAAAATGTGAAACTGTTAACATTTGCAGGCTCTTGCAACTGGCCCTGGACGAGTGGAAGTCCACCAATTAAGACAAGAGTACTACAGCCAGTCGCCAGATGAAGCTGGCAGGGAACTAGACAAGTTGGTGCGCTACACAAATATATTATAACATAGTTCAAAGGGAGAAATGCTAATGCATTACAAACATAAGGAGTGTGCATATGACTTGAAAGATGATGAATTATTTATAATTAAGTTATATTTTCCACTAAGTATCGCTAGTCCCTTCAGATCTGATGGATATAATATTTGTACTTCCAGTACAATTATGCTTTCATGTATTTTATTAAGAAAACATCACTAGATGATAAGTTTAAATAATCAGAAATGTGATTTAGTGGTAAACGAAATGTTCACTGTCTCACATTGAATGCTGTGGATGATTCTTTTCATCATAATTTTGCAGGTTCCTCATACAGAATTCCAAATATTTAGTCTTTTTAATGGAATTGTCATAATCCAGAGTTTCTTGTTTGTTATCAAGTTGTCAGCTGCCAGTGCTGCCATATTCGTGCCAAATGGGGGTAGTATGTAAACTATGAAAGTTTGCTATGCAGTTGCAGTTTAAACCCCATTTAACCATTTCCAGACTATGCACAAAATATCTCACGTAAAAACACTGGCCCTTCTGAGCAGGATTTGTTTGGTGTTGAAGATCAGCGGAAGTTTTTTTATCTCATCATCTGTCAACCATTAAAGCCTAGTAGGAAATGTAACAGTCTTCTGGGTTGCAATGCTGTGCAGTTTGGAGAGTAAGCCAACCAAGCTGTACTTGTCACCTGCTTCTGCTAGTTTCTTGCTGGGCTTGCTTCTGCCCTGAAAGTGGTCATGGTATGTTCCTCTAAAGTATTGGGCTGTCTCCAGACTATACAGCGACACCACCCAGATGACTATTCTCTTCATAGTGACCACTGTGGGAACCTCAAATCCAACATCAAAGCTTTCAGTGTGTAGCAGTTCTACTATATAAAATACATTGTACAATGGAAGAAGCTGATGAGATAACAGACTTCTAGGTTCTGATACTGTGTAGTTTGGTAGATAGGTTGAAAGATTATTCTTCTATCCTTTAATGGAGACATCAGATTCCTCTGTTCATATCTACTTACTGAACTACACAGAATTGCATCCCTGAAGACAGTAATCTAAATATTGCTCTGAGAACCTCAGATTTCTTTATACATTGAAGGATGATGGAGAATTGGCTGCTCTGTGACCAGGCTGGAACAGAGATGAATCCATGTTATAATGCACGGCCTGCTCAGGGCTATCTCACACCCCAGGGGTGGTGACAGATGGGTATGGAGCAGTTGTGAAATGATGATTAGTAGGTCCAGAAAACCCTCAGCATTTCATCCACCCCAAATCTCACATGAAATCACCCAGTATTGAACCCATACCTCTGTAATGAAAACCCAGCAAATCAGAGCTGAGGGAAACTTTGGTGGGGAAATAGAAATTGAACCACAGATTATGAAAAGCCTTGGACCACAACATTTAAATCGGCATAATGAACAGTGACAGATAACAGTAAATACCGTAGTATGTTGTATCAGATCTATGTTGTGTTTACTGTTTGGCACATGATATGGTGAGGGTAGAGGTAAGATGAGTAGGTAGCTCAGTAACTGCCAACAAGTGAATGTGAACTGAGGGGTAACAAGTTATGCTTCAAGTGAAATTATAGTAGGGTAAATGATGCATATGTTGACACAGAATAATAGTTTCTGGAAACTGAAGGATAGAAGTTTTATGTGATGCCTTCGGATGTTCTAATGTACTCACACACCAATCTGAAATCACTATGTGTCTAATAACTGTTGCAACGCTTCCATAGTAAAATCCTGGATAGTATAGGTGATATGTGGGATTCATTTTGCACAGAGCATTTAGTTCAAAAGTAATGTATGTAAGTCTGATAAGTAGAATTGTCATAATCTCATGAATGTGACATCTGCAGAATCCAAAAGCCAGCATGCATTTCCTTGGGGTTTTGTGGCATCATGTAGTCATTCTTAAGAGACTGAAGCCATGTAAGATGTAATAGAACAGCCATAGAGAAACCTTGTTAAACCAGAAAAAACTAGTCATGTTCAATGAAAACCAGCCATGCATTAAAAACCATCTTAAACCAAATTTGTGTAGTTAGAAATTGTGGTGCTCAAGGGACTGAATGTAGACAAACTGACTGCAGTCATCTGAATTGTGTTGTGGAGTGTTTATTATTTCTATAGCCACTGTACAGACATGTACTTTATCATAAATGGATATCAGGCATTTATATAGAAAGCTGAGAAGTAATATGAACATGAAACCATATGTTCTTGTTAACATGTTACCCATGTTTTCTTAAAAGACAACTGTGATATAATTCATGATGCAGACTGCTTCTAAACAAAATACAATTTGAAGCAGTTAGGTGTAGTTTTCAAGAATTTGAAGTGATGCATCAATTTGCATTGTTTTTTACAGCATCTAGCGCTCAACAATCCAGACCGTCCATAATAATTGTACCTAGAGTGCCGATCATGATGACAGATTGTTGTTATACTTATATAAAGGGTTAAAATTGTATGAAAGCTGAAATCAAGAGCATGTTTCGGACATTTACATCATTATGGTATTATTATGAGTTAACTTCTTCAAAAAGAACCATTTTAAATGAGATTGCAGCAGCAGTATAAGTTACTGAGATAGATGAACCTAGCTGGTAAATAACTTTATTATATTATTATATTAAAGTCAGTCTGTTCACTGTTTTGTACTGCCCATTTTCTTCACTGAACAGAATCTCGAAAGTTTTTTATTACTCTGCCAACTGTACTTACACCGATTCCATTGTCCCACAGTCATTTTATATGAATACAGAAGAATTTCAATCAGTGTAGTTTCTTTCCCCAGTTTTTTTTTATTTGCTTAGTGGGGGGTGGAGTCCAGCTGGCTCCACTCGGCATGGCGGCCACTGATTGGCCTGTTGTACCTGCCCCGGGTGATAATGATATTGGAGAATTTGGTGGAATGAAGATTGGCAGGGGAAACCGAATTACTCAGAGAAAACCCGCCCAAGCGCCACTTTGTCCACCACAAATCCCACTTGACCAGACCCAGGATCAAACCCGGGCCGCTGCAGTGGGAAGCCAGCGACTAACCGCTTGAGCTATGGCACGGCCTTCCCCAGTTTACTTCAGGCAATGGCTGTATGTGCAATCACTGTGGCTGCGCAGTCTAAGGCATGGATGTCTTTGTGCATTTATTCTGTTTATGTTGTTCTGTGTGTATGTAGCATCCTTGCAACAAGCTGGTCCCCCCATCCAGGGAGTTCTACCAACTACGTTTAAGATTAAGAAACTGAAAAAGCAGCCCAAGGTCCAACAAAAGGACTGTAGAGCCATAGATATGTAATGGCTGTATGTTCCTCCAAAAAAGGAAAGCAAATGCCTGTGTGTTTTATACAGCTCAGGTGACATGGCTTTTAATTGCTAGTGCATGTTGCGCTGTATGAGAAGCTCAATGCAGTGGAGGTACTGCAACTCCAAACTGGACAATGATAGGCAAAACACTTCGAGAGATATTTTTATTATACAGAGAGCCAGTAAAATCTATTACACTTTTGCTTTATGTGTTTGCATACACATGTACAAGTGATTAGCCCCTTACCCGCTGTGTTCTAATAGCTACCTAGATCTGAGGCCACAGTGAAGGGCCCAAGAACTGCATTCAAGTCTGACTTGTTGAATTTTGCAGGTCATCATATCTCTTAGGCTGTTTGTATATGGTCTGAGGGCTTTCCCAGCAGGTCACAAGTATTGGTAGTTAATTTTACTGTATTTGCAAAGCTCCAGTATTTGTATGAAACTTAATTAACAAGCTCAGTCAGCTGATGTCTGCAAGAGTGTGGATGTCACTGCACCTGCTCTTGTAATTTGCAGTTACTGACACTCCAGAGAAGAGAAACATGGGCCACTTGCAACATGAATGACACATACTCTACAGAATATGAATACAGTCAACTCGCGATTATCCAGGGGTGGATTAACCGGTTTGCAGCTTAACCGGGGCTACCGGGACTTTTTTTGAGGCTTATATGTTGTTTAATATTCATTCACTTTTGTTTCACATGGTGAGTTGTAACACCATTTTCGCACTAGTGTGAACCGAGCTCTGTATTCTTTGGTCCCGTTGTGCTAACACAGTGTTCTATAGTAGGGGTGAAAGAATGCAAGAATTTTTGGAAAGTTTCAAGGACAGATACACCGCCCCAGTTGGTCTCCTTGTATCGATCTTCAAGTGCGTTAGCAAAATGTCAGGGTGTAAAAGGAAGCGTGTTGTGTTAAGTATTCAACAGAAACTCATGTGAGCCGGGCTTTGAAATGTTAAGCAGTGACGAAACTCNTGAACCGAGCTCTGTATTCTTTGGTCCCGTTGTGCTAACACAGTGTTCTATAGTAGGGGTGAAAGAATGCAAGAATTTTTGGAAAGTTTCAAGGACAGATACACCGCCCCAGTTGGTCTCCTTGTATCGATCTTCAAGTGCGTTAGCAAAATGTCAGGGTGTAAAAGGAAGCGTGTTGTGTTAAGTATTCAACAGAAACTCGTGTGAGCCGGGCTTTGAAATGTTAAGCAGTGACGAAACTCTAAGTTCAGTGGGGGTGCAGTCAGAAGAGTGGGAAGAAAGTGAGAATGAGGAAGAGGTGGACAGTGCTGCTAGTAAGAAAATATCACATGGTGCTGCTCTTAATCATTTGGAATCCTTACTAGACTATCTTGAGAGTGAAGAGAACAGTTTATTAAGTGACAAGCTAATATTACGTAGGCTTCGTATGGATATCCGTAAAAAGGAAAATGCCGCGAAAAAGCAAAAGACAGTATTAAATTATTTTAAGTGTTAAGTGTGACCGTAAAAAGTGCTGGATGTTGTTGAACAGTGATTGAAATAACTAATTCATACTGAGTGTAATGTAAAAAAAGTATTAAATAGGCCATGAGATGACATAAAAATGAGGTTGAGTAAATTTAAATACAGGTAGGCCTATAGTATTATGAAGGTACAGTATTACAGTACTACTTTTAATAACATTTGTCTTAACCGGGTTTTCGATTAACGTGATTTCCATGCCCACCATTTTCCTGCATAATCGAGAGTTGACTGTATTTAGAGTTATAATCTGTCTCTCTTTCTATCCCAAATTATATCTTTTCAGAAATAACACACAAAAGGATGCATACCATAAAGCTTAGAATCTAGTGTAAGTCAGCTATTCCCTAGAATGGCAGGGTACTGTTTATTTCCATTGGTCTCATTTTCTAGTCATTTTTTTCTAGTTATGTATCCTTATTGTCAATATGTTATTACATGCTGTTAATGTATAGGATAACGAGATTATTCTGTAAGTTGGATGATGTTTATCATTTGTAATGAACATGACAGAACAGGTCACACTCCTGTAATTACTGCACCCAAAATGGCACCACTAAACATACACTGAAGTACCTCATACAACTATGTACATGTTAAAATTGAACCAAAGAGAGTTTCAGGTAATTTGTTGTGTCATTAGATATCTACACAGAGTAAAGTGATCCAGCCACTGACATTCACCACATGCAGTTAGACGAACAGTACTGTAAACTGTAACGTAAATTTGTAATCCATATGAACAATAAAATCTGCTGTACACTGTTTACTTACAGAACACCGGTTCCTGTTATGGCCATTGCATATATTTGTATGTACATAACAATTGTTTTCAACGACTGTTCTACCTTCACCTATATCATACAAGGGTTCTCTTCAAATGTGTATGCAATAAGACCTTGTTAATCTGATACATGGTATGAATGGATAACTGATGCATATTTTCCTTGTTGGTCTAGTGGTCAGAGTTCCTGGTTACAGATCCAGATGTCCTGGGTTCGAAGTAGTGGGTCTTGAACAGGGTCCATTCAGCCTTGTGAGGATAGTTGAGGAGCTACTTGAATGGAAAACTAGCAGCTCCAGTCTAAAAAACAGAGATTAACGGCCGCGGGGATCCGTTGCGCTGACCACATGACACCCTCTATCCGCTAAAGTTGGCACTAACTTCGCCGACAAGTGGCAGTCGCTTGATGGGTATAGTTCACTTGCATACTAAAAGGCCACAGTGTTCTTCTTACATTAAAATGAAATAATGTTTTCAGGGATTCCGTTATTTGCATTACATCTGATTCAAAGCATACTGTCCCCCATAGGTTTACATGCAAGATTATTCAAAATATCATTTAAACATCCTGTTGCATCGATTCTTTTCAGTCTTGCTACTGCAGCTTTTGTAAACATTTCAGTGGCTAGATGGTTGCTGTGACACGGTCACGTTTCATTATTTATGCAACTTATTGCAACCTTATATGATCATCCACTGGATATTGTATGTTGTTTCACTGTCTGACTGTTGTCACTCACCAACCACAGATATCACACCCAATATTAATGATCTCATCAGGATTCGAACCCACAACCTTCCAGTTTATGGCATAGTGCCTCAACCAGATATGCAACCACAGGCAATAACTGTCGCCTCTAGGATCTGAGGGCCTAAATGTTCTCTGTGAATGTTGGCAATCCCATCGTTAGTGGCGCAGGATTAGTCCGTGAATGAAACATTTTCAGGAGACTGCCGCAACGTCCATTGACGGAATGCGCGTGTTGCGGGTGAATCGTGCAGCACTAACTCTTGCACAGACTGCATGTGATAGGAATACAGAAGCATGCAAGGTAGAACTGAAACACGTCTGGTAGTGATCATAGGCTGTACTCAGTGGCCATTAGGATCTGCTCTCATGTCAGTACATTACGTACACAGTGGCGAATCTCATCCCATGAAACATTCCCATCACTGGAAGCTGGAAGTCATAGAATGGAAAGTGGCACTTTCCGATTATGACATTTTTCTCTGTATTTTCCAACAGCTACTATAACATTTCCGCTGCACTCTCATAACACATGTTGTAAGGTAAGGTAAAATTCTCCCTATACTTAATTAATTAATCACTATGCAATGAAGAGGTATGGGGGAGTGGGTGTATACATCCACATTTTCTTGACTTTGGCAGTAGTTGGAGATGAGTGGTCAGCTTCACGCTCCGCCCGCTTAACCGCCGGGGAAACAGCTCTCCGCTACCCATTGGATAGGAGATTGGGTGAACCCCAGAGCCGGTCTGGATGACAGAGAAGAGAAAATTCTAGACCCTACCGGGACTCAAACTCCAACCCCTCTGTCCAGTCTGTAGCCAATCGCTATACCGACTACGTTATCCCGGCACACAATTTGTACATCAGTCAATTCAACAAATGAATAGCCACTTGTGTCTATATGTAAAGTGCTTTCTTAGCCTCAGATCGTTTCAGACTTGCTAGTAGTTCAATATGTATTTGTTTTCTGTTTACAGTTACAGTGCCACGCTTTCAGAGTAAGATTGTCAGGCACTATATCGTCGCGAACTTCGGCGCCAAATACATCTTCATGATCAGGAACGCCTGCTTTTCCGAATGTGACGGCAGGCATGGACATAACGTTTTAAGCAACGTCCTCTATGTAAATATTCACATGAACTCCTTTGCTACTCTGAATGTCCAGAAACCGATCTGTAAAATACAGCACGCAGTAAAGAGAAACTCTGCGTATGTACGTCAGTGTTTCCACTAAGCTGCGCGTGCAGCGGCTGTCGCACTCTCCTGCGCACTTTAATTGGCTTAGCATATCGTCAGTTTGAATGAAGAGAAATAAAATTGAAAATAAAAAAAGTAAACTAAAATATTGGTTTGGAAGGTAATAAATTGAATATGTTATGGACCT